TTAACACTGTACAATGTTAATAAAACTTAACACTGACTAACACTGTACAGTGTTAATAAAACTTAACATTGTACAGTGTTAATAAAACCTAACACTGACTAACACTCTACAGTGTTAATAAAACTTAACACTGCACAGTGTTAATAAAACTTAACACTTCAAGTCAAATAACTCTTATGAGAGTAATTATTAATCTAAGCAGAGTTAATAAGGAACTCCTCTGTGGTGACAAATCAACTCTGATTCTCATGTTTTTCAACACTGAGTTATTGATGGTTAACACTGGAGATACCTCCTATAAGTGTTAATTTGACACTCTACTCTTTTGATGCGTAAAGGGGTGTAAAACAGACACAATGAGGTGTCATTACACAGCTAATCTGAAAGTGTAAGTTTAACATTGTAGAGTTAAGATAAACTCTTTTTAGTGTTGCATTTACGTTACAAACATGTACAAAGGGTTGCCTTCAGGCTCAGGCCTCCCTTGAAAAAGAGATCTGAGATCTCAATGGGACTTGCCTGGTAAAATAATGTTAGTTAATTAATTAATAATAAGTGTAATGGAGTCGACCTTCACACACCAGGAAATATCTCTCACTCATGGTGTCGTTTTATGGTCAATAACACAAACTTAAACTTGATCAACTGATAAACCAGAACAAAACAACAAGAACAACAAATTTTTACTCTCATGAACGTCTTTAATAGTCATAAACATACAAACACATCATTTCTACAAGATTACCCAGAATTCCTTGCTGTGAAACTACTGGTCTGTCTGATATGACGTGGAAGAGGGCGGGGCTTTTCAGAATACTGCTTTCAACACTGCATGGTGTCATATAACAACACTGTTAAGTGTTATATAAGACTTAACAGTGGGCGGGGCTTATTTAACACTGTCCAGTGTTGAGACAACACTGAGGAAATCAACACTGTGAGTGAGTTAGTGTTATCCTGACTAAGTTGAGCGTTTTATTTTTAAACTGAGTGTGTATTTGTGTTAACCTGACTGAGTTGGGTGTTTTATTTTGAAACAGTGTGTTTGCATTATCCTGACTGAGTTGGGAGTTTTATTTTGAAACTTAGTGTGTTTGCATTATCCTGACTGAGTCAGGTGTTTTATTTTGAAACTGTATGTGGGTTTGCGTTAACCTGACTGAGTTGGGTGTTTTATTTTGAAACTGAGTGTGTGCTTGCATTATCCTGACTGAGGTAGGTGTTTTATTTTGAAACTGAACTGTGAATTAACACCAACACTGGAAGTCAGTTTACTCAGAAAGTGTTAAAATAACACAAGGGGGAGTTAAATCGACACTGAAAAGCTCAACACTGCCATTTTAACACTGTTTTTTTTACTGTGTAGTTACCCCTTGTCAACTACAGGCCAACTTCTGACAATTTCTAACCAAAGAAATCTGATTTTCTGTTAAACTAGTGTAAATCCTGAGAGCTGAATAACTGCTGAAATCTGAGGAATGAGTTTAATCTGAGTTGTCAAAAAGAAGCACAATGCTAGTAAATTACAAGAGTAGGAAAACTAATATAAACAAAGCAAAATACTAGCTCAAAAGCAAAGTTTAAGGTCATGGTTCTCACCTGGAAAAGAGATGGGGCTGAGTTTTTGACTCAAGCAGATATGGAGTCTTGTTCTCAGGTGAGGATGGAGAAGAAGATGGATTGGAGCATTGCTCTTTTTTGTTTTGCTGAAGAATCGAACAAGCAAAAAGGCAAAACTGTCAATTTAATGGTCCGTCTAATATTCCAGCCCTCACCTGTGATCTTGAAATATGAATCATGACCAAAAGAACAATAAACAAGTGTCTGTAATACAGTAGCTTCCTTTGCAAGAACTGAGATTTGGAGATAAAGTGAGGAGCTTCATCATCTGGGGTGGTCTTGAAGTAGGACCACTGCCTCCCTGAAGGAGGTTTTTAAAGCAGGTGCCACCGGGAGGAGAACCAGAGACAAACACTAAATTTGTCCTTATGCATCTCAGTAATCCAGGTAGAAAAATATTTTAAAAAATTAAGTAGGTCCTCTGAATGTTTTCCCCCCCGAAACGCTTCATTAAAGGGGAAAAAATGTTGTAGAAGGCGTTCTTTTAGGCTTTGGAACATTGACATGTCCCTCAGGAGGAGTTGGAGAGTCAATGTCAGATTTATGTTGTAGGGGTGTAAGAAAATATCGATACACTGAAATATCGCAATATTTCATTTCCCGATACTGTATCGATATTCTAAAGCCCTGTATCGATTTTTTATTAAGGTTTAAAACATCAACTTTCCTGCCAGCTGTTCATTTTTATGTTGTAGTTCAGCCTCTGGTCACTAGTTGGCAGCAGTGAGCCAGCCATTTCACTCCTCTACCT